TCTAAGCATCAACAACATCCAGAAGAAGAGTGGAAAGAAGAGAGCAAGTGAAGAGTAAACAAATAAATAGCGGTTGAACAAAACAATCATAGTAATATCTCTTTTATTTTTATTTAAAAATAAATAAAAAGAAAAGACGCGCCTTAACGTTAAAGGAATAAAATATTTGAGAGCGATGAGGTTCGAACTCATGAAAGCTTGATTGTATCACCACGGTGAAGTCACCAACCGTTATTATATCCTAACAAATTTTAATTAAAAAAAATGTTAGCACTTGAGTTTAGAGATGTTACCACGGTGTTAGAAAGAACCGTGGTCACTTGGGCGTTGTTATATGTGCGTTTTGTAGTAGTGAAAGTGAAATGAAAAAAATAGAATAAAATAAAGGGTTAAATATGTTTAAAGTTCCTTTAAAGTTAGTCACTTTTATTTTTTGTCCCTTTAAAAAATTTCGTTATAGAATTGTCTTTCTAAGGTTAGGAATTTTAACTTTTGGTTCATCCTGTAACTTAAGGACGTTTTTTACAACTTAATAATTGAATTAGCGACGGTTTAATACTTAGCGATTGAACTAGCGACAGTTTACTACTTAGCGATTGAATTAACGACAATTTACTACTTAACAATTGAATTAGCGACGGTTTTAATATGAATGATTAAAAGTTAAAATTTCTAACTTTAGAAGAACAACTATTTAAAAAAATTTAGAAGAACAAAAAATTAAAAAATATCTATTTAACCCTAAACGAAAATATAATGAGAGTAACAGAAGAGAGAAATTCTTAAATGGAGACAAGCATAAGAAATAATTTTACACACAATCAATCACAAAATTTTAATTAATTAAAAAATAATTATATTTTCTCTCTCCTTCATAATCACAACCACCCATAAATCTAATTAAAAATAAATAAATAAATAAATAATTTAAAATTATTTTTATTCTTGTTTGTTATTTATGGTTGTTTACATGCAAGAATTCATTGAGAAGAGAATAAAATTTAGTAGTAAGTATGAATTTTAAAGGGTGAAAATTAAATTTGCGTGGTCCAAATGACACTACTTCATATTATTAAAAAAATGACACTACTTCATTATCTAGATGGGTTACCGCTAGAAAGTTGATCCATATATTAAAAAATTTACTTACTAATCTAAATGAATACTATTTTTTAAATACAAGTTACAATATTACATGTTTGTGCATAGATAACGAATCATAGGCAGTTAAATACTAATAGTTGATGATTAATTCTTAGGTAAATACTGTACTAAACATAGATCCAATGATAAAATCCAACTTAATTACTATTATCAAGTTTTAAGTAACTTCTAGCTGAAGATCCGACTAAAAACATACTTAATTATTACGAACGATTTTTAGAAAATTATTAATACAAAATCCAAATAAAAGTAGATGCGATATTCCTGAAGATTGTTTGAATAAAAACATATACTGTATTTATTTACTTACTACTTAAATAGCAGGTCACCAATAATAATCAATCAATTTTGATAATTAAATGTTTTTATTATTAAGTCACTTACTATTTTAAGAGTTCACTATAATTTTCCTGTTGAAACTACATGACTAAGGTTTGATTCTTAGTAAGTCAATCTTTTTAAGTGCGTTAATGCTCTAAATATAAATAGGGGACGGTTTAGGTACAACCACAGTTATTAAACTGTAGTATTTGGTGAATAGGGGACGGTTTGTGTACGCCAACAGTTTCAGAACCGTCGCCTTTGATGAATATGCTACGGTTTTCAACAAAATATTAGAAACTTATCTTCGAGTAAATAAGCGTAGCCTTTAAGCAACGGTTTTTAAGCCGTTTCCTAAAGTTAAAAACGTTATAGTGAATGTACTAACATTCATCAATTTAGACATTGATACTACTAAGTATATCAAGTTGGATGTGGCTGACATTGATACTACTAAACATATCAAGTTGGATGTGACTGACATTGATACTACTAAGCATATCAAGTTGGATGTGGCTAGGTTGTTGATTAAAACAAGATGTCAAGCTCTGATTCATGAGAAATTTCGTGTCAACATCGCATGAAAGTTGTTCAATCTGAAGGTTGTGGAGGATACTCAGGTCCTTTGAGGGTTTTGACATTGTTGAAGAAAGATGAAGATGAGTTCTCGGTGACTTTTGATTCGGTGGCGGTTGAGGATGGTGATGGAGTGGGTTCCGATGAGGAGGGGGACGAAGTGGGATTCGGTGGGGAAGATGTTCATGGTGGGAGTTTCGAGGTGGTAGCAGAGAAGAAAGGATCTTTGTCCGCTAAACATATTGGTGTTCTGGGTGATGATGGGATGGTTTGTATGTTTAAGGAAAGAGGTCTTTCTGAATATTTTTTGAAGGCATCTTTAGCGTCTAAATCTAGGGAAGTGCATGGGATGATATTGACGTCTCAAATCATGAGGTAGTATTTTGTTCTGCTCTGAACTTTTCTCAACGGGTGCATGTGGGCAAGCATGGAACTTTTTCGATTGACTTCCCATTTCAGCGGAGGAACACGTAGGTACTGATGGGTTGGTCAAAAAGTGTGGATTAGTATCGATGAAACTGGTTTGTGGCAAAATAAGCATTTGTTTTTAGGAGGAATGGTGGTTCTTTTGAAAACCATCTTGTCGAGCATTCTGATTTATTTACTCTTTTTATAAAACTCACAAGGTGGTTATTAAGGAGATCATTATGCCTCAGAGAGTTTTCTTGTAGGGAGGAGTGGAGTACAAGAAAAAGATTAATTGGATCGGTTGAGATAAAGTTTGTCTGCCTAAGAAGGATGGGGGCTTGGGGTGAAGCATTGTGGATCGTTTAACTTGACTTTGCTTAGTAAATAGAAGTGGAGGATTCTAAATGAGGAAAATAGTTTTTGGACTAACCTTCTTTTTTGTAGGTACGGTGACATCAAGAGTGTCATGAGTCGATGACTCATGTAAAAAAATAAAGTTTCTTTGTGGTGGAAAGATTCGTGTGATGTTGGGGGTCGAGAAAGGATCATCCTGAAAATTGGTTTTTTTTCCCATCTGTTTCGGCTAAGCGTGGCAATGGGGAGTCTTTGAATTTGTGGAAAGATTGTTGGTTGGAGACGATTCCTCTTTTCGTTCGTATTCCAGAGGCTTTATGGGTGTGTCGAGCCGAGAGCTTCAAAGGTTAGTAATCTTGGTGTTTGGATAGATGGTATTTGGGTTTGGGAGTTGCGGTTGAAGGAGAGTCTTGTGAATTGAGATGAGGTGGGGCATTTACAGTTGCTTCAGAACATTCTTTCTTCGGTTCAACTAAGGATGGATGTTCCTGATCGATTTGTTTGGTGGCCTAATGCAAATGATTGTTCGGTTAAAGCAGCTTATGAAAGGATTTTGATCGGCAGAATTCAAAATTGGCATTTAGTTTCTTTTCAACTTAAAGCTTTAAAGAGTTTATGAAAGACCAAAGTGTCTAGCAAAATTTTATTCTTCGAATAGAGAATGATTTAAAATAGGTTATCATCTAAGAAAGAGTTAGCGAAGCGAGGAGTGCTTGTGGGTCCTCATAATTTATTTGTCCGTTATGTTTTAGGGAAAAAGAGGATGTCGATCATCTTTTTGGGTCTTGCTTCGTTTCAAGAGTGTTGTGGAAGAAGTTTTGTGATTGACTTCGTATAGACTTTTTCTTGGTGGTGGGTTCTATTGTTGAGTGCATTCAAGCCTTAGCGCTAGCTTGTAAGTCTCGTTTTACCTTACATTTGAGTTGGTTTTTTGGTTTGGCTCTTTGTTGGGTTATTTGGTCTTGTTTGTAGGAATGATATTCTTTATAAGGGATTTTTCTCCATTTCTTGGTCTAAAGACGGAAGTAATCTTGTTTGATTGGATTGGTTTGTCTATCCAGGCTTTTGTGTATTAATGTTATTTAGGAGTTTTGATTTTTGGTAGGTGGGCTTGTTGTTGTGTTGGACCCTCTTCTTGTAAGTTTGTTGTATTCTTGGGTTTGGCACCCCTAGTGTTTTTTATTGAAATCCCTTTTGTTAATAAAAAAAACCAACTTAGACATTCACAGGTTGCAGTGTTTATACCAGTTCTTCGGTCAACATCTCACATTGAATTTATACACTGAAATCAAGTTGATCTGAGATACTGAATTTACTTTCTATGCCATGACATGATCTTCATTTTATGATGTAGGGTAGGGGCAATAATTTTGGAGTACCTTGCAGCTGATTGTTCAGAACCTGTGATGGGAAGAGGCAATAATTTCACTAATGGGAAATATGGACCTGTCACGCGTTTTTCAGATCATGTGAATGGCGGTGAAAAGAATTTTGGATATCAGTATTTTCTTCTACTGACCAGAATAAAAATATGCCTTTTTTAGAAAGAAATTAGCCACTTGCATGTGGCAATATTCCTACCATGCTTTATTTAAGCCTACTTGATTCTTTACTTGTATATTTGGAGAAGCTCCAAAGAACATTTTAAAAATATATATTTCTCTTCGTTCTAATGACTAATAGTATCACAAACAATTCCAAACAAAAGCAATTGACTTATCATTTATTGAATATTCACCCGTTATCTAAGACCAAGAATATGGTTGGTTTGCCATGGTGTTTCAAAACCCACTTGCAACTAAAATACTCAACATGTATCCACCTCCTCCTAATCAATCAAAGTCCCAACTACCAAGAGAAACTTTAGTGTTGTGGGCAATGCAATGCCACATGAATGGGAAACCTGCTTTGGGGCATGTTGTGTTATCTGGTTAGAAAGAATCTTATGTGCAGCCTACTCTCTACAGCCTTTAATATAAGATCAACAAAAATTTTAGATCAAAGTATGGTCAAACTGAAAGCTGGCTCTTCATAAGTAATACAAGTAATAACATACTGTCAAAATTACAAGGGCAGGTGGCCAGTACAGACTAATGATAAGCATAAGTTACAACAGGATTTCATATTAAGAGACAATATTTTTCTTACACGCACGAGGGATAATGACACTTGATAGTTCATACTAGAGTCCTTAGTGTTTCAGCTTCAAATCTGTTTCCAGGGGAAAAACTTTGCCTCGGTGATTGAAGATCATGAAGTCTAGGTTTGCAGGTAAAGAAACAATCCTGCATTGAAGTGGAGGAAATTCTGGTATAAGGATTCAAATAATTCCATGACAAGTGATACTTCCATTAACTATGAACACAAATGAAATTACAAAGCCTTGCAAACCATCAAGGAATACATGTCAATTTCATATATAGCATGATAGTTAGGAAACCAAGGATTTGCTTGGTATAGATATAAGAAAAATATATATACCAGAGAATAACTGATTTGTCATTCATAATGTTAAAAAAGTGTGCCTTTAGTTTGAGTTAAAGAGAAGTAAGTGAAATTGAACATAAATAAAATCATAGATACTCAAATTACTCGATAATGTAATCTTTTTTGTTGAAAACAAGATTGTATTTCTTCATTTTATCCCAACTAAACGAATGTTGGCTAGTTCATTCATATTTCCTACCTAGAAATATTATATCCATCTGTTTTCAAAGTGAAAACTCCTAACAAGTAAGCTTGATTGAAGCGGATTCAAAATATTCTTGCTTTCAACTTCTCAAAATATTGCATAAAGTAAAACTTTTCCATTCCCTCATAAGTCAAAACTTAAACACCACTTATTTTTCTTCTTTTTTTCACTCCATCTGTTTCTAGGTGACCCTTGACCGTCATATAAGGTTTTCCACACATAATAAAAATAATAAATGAATGAATGAGTAACAAATTTAAAATATCATTCTTACTAACCATTGGGGTTTAATCGTTGTCATAAGTGCATAGTGGAGTATAATAAGCCAAGACTGATGTCTAATATCAATTTGTGCGTAAAATTTTAAAATATTAACCGTGTTAAAGCACAAAATGGCGCTCCATTTGAATATTTTATTTTTTCTAAAACGATGGTCAATGAGAAACAGAGGGAATGTTGATTTACTACTGTTTAGGTCCAGTCCTCACTGTCAAGTATTCTCTAAGAACAAAGCTAGCTTCAAATAAAATGACAGAAGTAAATCAAGGTAAAACGAACAAATCTTCAATATCTAATAAAAGCAACTCAAGCTGGGTATAGCACATTTTAGGAACTATTTTACTTTAAACAATTATAGTTCCCTCCTCCAACAAAAACTACAACAATCAAGCCTAATCTCACTAAGTGGGGTCGGTTACATAAATCAACATTCATCATAATGTTCTATCTAAATCGTTAATCACGAGATCTTTCTGAATAACTTTTGTTATAGTCTTTCTAGGTCTTCCTACTCCTCTAGTTGTTTGACTTCTCTTCATCTGATCTACTGTCCTTAACCACATAATCTACAAGTTTTCACTCTACAGGTGTTCTCCCTTCTCTAACATAAAAGTACAAAATCTTCTAATAGACCATTCACATCCACTAGTCCAAACAAACAATTACAGCAAGAACCCTAAATAATTGAGAGTAAATTACAGTAACATAGAAAGGGGCAGATAAAAAGAAGAAACCTGTTTCATCAGAGTGTGGGTGTATGGACAAAAACTTCCCTGGAAGAGTGAGAGCAGCCCAGAAACAAAGCAACAATCCAACAAACAGTTCAATCACACACCTGCATCATCAAAATCACACAAAACCTAAACTCAAAAACACCAAAAACAATGCAAAAATAAAACAAATAAAAAAGTGAAGTTACATGGAAAGGAGGTGCTGAAAACTCTTCTTGTGTGATCTTCAACAAGTTCTTATCTACAACCAAGTAATTAATATCAAAACAAATTATCAAGATTCGAAAGTTGAAAGTTTAAGCAGAAATAGAAATAGAAAGAGAAAGTGTGGTTACACTGGATGGTGGAATAAGCGGCGTGAAATAGAACGAGAGCACCGAAAACCCCGACAGTTAAAGCTAGAGCCATTGTTTCAACAGAGATCTACAGTACCGACCTCTGAAAATTTGAAGATGGTGACTGAACTGAGTAAATCGCCGCAAGAGTTGCAAGTCAATTCTGCTGCTACCAAATTCAGCCTCATACAAATACTTAATTCCAACTTTATCCAAAGGTAAATTCTCATTTTTGTTGTTCCAAGATAGTTCAAGTGAAAATACACCCAAAAAGGTAAAAGATAATTCAAGTGTAAAATTATAAGTCATTTGTAAATAATGTCAATTGATTAAAAATAGAATGTTAGACAATTTATCTTTTATTTTCACTTTATATATATATATATATATATATATATATATATATATATATATATATATATATATATATATATATATATATATATATATATATATATATATATATATATATATATATATATATATATATATATATATATATATATATATATATATATATATATATTATATATATATATATATATATATATATATATATATATATATATATATATATGTGTTTTTTTTTTCCGGCAAATTCTTAAATAGCCATGTAGTTGGGTATCGATTTTAAATTTTAATTTATTTTAAAATAAATAAAAGTAAAAATATGACATAGCATTCGATTATCCTATTTCATTGATTAAAGGTATTGGTATCTAACTAATTGAAGGATGTGTCGGTATCTAATTAAATTGAAGGATTTCAGAATGTTGAGGTTTTAACTTGACACTTCTTCTATTTGAACTTGACATCCTCCCAATTTTCGTTATTCCTGGAATATCCTTGTTGATTCGAGAAGAATTTTCGGACAAAATTTCTGGTAGAACAAGTGAAATTTTTGGTACAGAGAAAATTTTTCAGTAGATCAATATTAAAATTTCGGTATTTAACAATTGCTGGCAGTTCATTTGAAATTTCGGGTACACTGGAATTTTCAAATTTACGAGATAGTACCAGAAATTTCAAATATACTGAAATTTCTGATAGTTTCATAATTCAAGTTTTTTTAACGATCAAAATTTGTCGATAACTTTGAAGGGTTCTGATTGCACCGACAGATTTATGTGGTATAGAATGCATCGCCATTTGTATAAATAGGGGCATATGTTAGAGAAAAAGACATTTCAAAAAATGTCTCTTCCACAATTTATGATTAAGGCAAAAGTGTATTTCAACAAAAACAATCCTCCTGTTGAATCAAGTTTTCAGATGGCGCCACATCCATCGCCAACTTGACAGACAAATTGAATGAATTGGTGCCTGATACCGATAACAGAAGGGTGAGTAAGATCGAGTTTCAAGAAGATTGAATTGATAGTGATGGAAGGGTAGAATACAACTTGATTCAGTTGAAGACCGACGAAGATATTAAGGCCATGTGGAAATCATTTCGGCGTAGGATAACCAAGGGTCTGATCGAGTTGGATGTGTGGATAACAAGTTATGTCGATGACATAATGAAGATGTTGAAACGTCCAGAATCATCTGGTAGTGTCTAGGTTTCCATGTTTAGTTGCTTTTAATTTATGTTTTTTATATTGTTTATGTTATGTTCATATTCGAATTGAAAAATATAATTGTCAAAATATTATGCAATAAATAAGAACTCTATGTGTCTCAAATATACAAATAATACAGCCAAAATATAACAGCTCTTCTTACGCCCCCATGGGCTACGTCCGCCAACCTAGCTAAACCTGTATAAATCTCACCATCGGAATTTACCAAATCCATGAGATTATCTAAATAAAGAGCATTAAACTGTAGGTGGTTGTCCCGATCACCTGCAGATGGTAAAGGTGGTGGTGGAGGCACGTCAGAAACCCTAGCACGTGAAGACCCCAGTACATCAGACACCCTATTATATGGTATGACCCGAGAGTGTGATATGTTGTGATACCACTCCAGGTATCCAATCTCACATTGTGCAAGATCCTGGGCCATAACTGATGTATCCCTCATCTCACGAGCAGAGCTGATGATGTGACTCTGGAACCACCTGTCAATGCCATCAGATGGAGACTCTAGAACTGGACGAGGAATGCCTTTGATGTAACCATATTATCGCAGACACCTCTCGGGCAAGTGTCTAGCCATGTGTTCTCCCCATATAATATGCCCTGAATACAAAGTTGCATCGTCAAATGGACGATGGGCCCGGTGAGATGTATATGTTGTCCATACGACATTGTCTAAGGTCGGAGTATCAAGCCTCCTCGTGTACTCCAGAACACCTCATGGATGGCTTGCTTGCCCTTCTATCTCATCACCCATGGATCACTAGCCGAGACACGTTGGATCTTTCGGTCAAAGATGTGGGGGAAGTGCTCGGAATATCCAACACTGCATAAATAAATTGATAACTCATATACTCAAATAAATTGATAAACACCAGATAATCAGATACTCAAATAAACGATAGTATACCTGGAATAGGCTCAGATAACCAACTAGTTATTGGTCTCAGGTGGAGAAGTAACTTCAAGTGTTGTGTACAGCATGGTCAACGTCACCACTCCCCAAGCCCAACATGGAGTGTCTAGTGTACTAAATAGAGACAAGTAGATAACATCAATGTAAACACTAGACTTGTCCGCAAAGAGAGTACATGTCATCAGATGTAGCATGTACGCCTTAGCGGCAGCCTCATGCATATGGGCCTCCACTAGCTCCCTGTACAATGTCCTCAACCAAGACATCCGAAGGTGAAATCTCTGATTAACGCCAAACTTCTCTAGTACCTTCCACTCAGATACCTCCAAATCATTCATGACCATGTGCAACACCGTCGAATGGCTAATGTGAGAAGGAGTGAATAATGTACCAGCGATCGAGATATGAAATAAAGCGTCAACATCATCTAATGTGATGGTCATCTCCCCAAATGAAAGATAAAAAGATGATGTCTCTGGGTGTCACCTCTCAACAAAAGCTAATAGAAGGGAGACGTCGAGTATGGTCAAGGAGCATTGAGTGAACTCCAGCAGATGAAAATCTCTCACAATACGTCTGACCTCCTAAGGCATGTGTTCTGGGAAGTTCTTCAACTTTGAATCATGGGATGCGACCTTCAACATTGCACGCTCTTGTAAAAAACAAAGTAGATTACACATCAAGTCATTATGAAAAAATTGCAATAAAAAAGAAAACAAAATATATACCTTGCCCTACCATATCTTGTATGCGACGTGCTTAAAAAAATCCCATCAGCACGGACTTTTCTGAAGGTTCTACTATAAAGCTTCCATCATTGTGAACTAATGGCTCCATAGACGCACAAGTCGTGGCATCTGTGTCAGTGGAAGACACTTCATTAATCTGCTCAACAACAACCTACTCAGCAGCCACAACCTCCTCAGTCGCAGACTCATCTAAAATAACCTCATCAACAGTCGACTCCACCATAACCTGCTCATCACAAAAGCGGGTGCCTCCATAGAAGCAGGTGCCTCCATAGGATCATGTACCTCTTCGGTTGTAGAAACTCTAGTAGTTCGTTGACGAGGTGTGTGGAACTGTGTCTGCTGCTCAGTCGACCGTTTCCGATGAGAACCGATTAGAGGATGTCGTCCTACACGTAGCTCGAAAACCCGTGCCTCATCGACTCGGGTATGAGCTTCTGCTCTATCAGTCTCCATGCCTGCAAACGGTACCGTCTTTTCCCCTGGTCCTCCCTTAAACAAATAAAAAACAATTTTAAAAAACATTGAACTACCGGAAATTTCTAAATTTCTGGTATTTTAAAAAAAAAATGAACAACTGGAAATTTTAATTTTACAAATTTCTGGTACACAAAGTGAACACCTGGAAATTCAAATTTATGATGAAATTTATAAATTTCCATGACAAAATACCAGAAATTTGGCATAAAATACCATAAATCTTACTCTTTCACGAAATTTTTGGTATGTCCACGAAATCTCTGATATCACTTTATAAATTTAAAATTTTTGATGGTACCAGAAATTTAAAAAATACATGAAAATTTTTGGTTTGACTATTTTGACCTTTTCATCCACTTTAGGGACCTCCCAAATATTCAACTTTTTGTTTTGGTAATAGAAGACCTAAGTCCAAATATATACTTT